ATATCCCAGCTTGATTTCAGGTTTTGAACTAAAGAAAACATGGCCTGCATTGATTTCTTTGTGGACGAGTCCATTTGCGTGGACAATAGAAAGACCGGATAGAATTTCTCTGAGAGAAATTACAATGCATTGCTCTGGAAGACCTTCAGGGAATTTTGCAGCAGTGATGGATCGAAGGGATCCCACATCCATGTACGGGAACACCACACATAATTTCTCATTGTCCACAAATGATTTAGTGATTCCCATGAGGTTTTCATGATGAGGGAGTAAGCAATTTCTTTCAACTTCTTGATTCAGCTTGTTGAAGGCCTCTTGTTGATTGACTTCGACCAATTTCAGAGAAAAAAAGACATCATGAATCCCAATTCTTGAATAGACATTGAAGTCGCCAGCAATGTACGCACATCTGTACACTGTAAGACCTGATGCAGTTCCAATGCGGCACATGGTGCTGTACCTGTTTCTAGTTGCTGCTTCAAAGACAACAATGCATCTATTTTCATCATTATCATCTTGTGTACTCGAGGCTCCTTCTAAGGGAACATTGGCCCACTCGTCCATTATGAAGGGTTTTCTTGTTTTGAAGTTTTCTTGAATTTCCGAGAAGTTCTTGGAAAGAGTTGGGAAGGGAACTGGAATGGAATGGCTGATGAAATGTTGAGCGTTAAACTTTGAAGAGGGTTTATCGCATATTGGAATGGGAGAGTAGTTATATGAAACTAATGAACATAATTCTTTAAATTTTGGTTCCAAGAATTCCAGAAGAAAAATATAAATTTTCTGTATGTATTATATAGATAAATGCATTGTGAAAGGTTTACTTTCTTGAAAATGCATAGGCATGAGAGAAGTTTCTTGATGAGGTCTATCCAGTTATGCAAGAATTTCAAGAAAATTCCGGGTAGTTAAAACTGAAAACTGAAAAGTGACTCTTAGAATTTTGATTCCTGATGCTATCTCCTATCATGATCATGACAAGTGTCCAAATGATTAGGTTTTTAAGATTTTCTTATTAGTTTTTTTTTTTTTTTTTTGGTGGGGGTGGTTTAGGGTTCTACACTGTTCGTACATGCATACTTCTGCTTGTAACAGATGAATGTGTGAAGCCCAACTCATCTGTTTGCACCAGAGGTGCAGTTTTAGCAGGATTATTAACCTTCCGATTGAAATGACAGTTCCTATTGTTTCATTAATTTATCGACTACAGGATGTTACGGCAAAAAATGACGTGACAATGAGACAATGATGACTAAATAAGCAAGTTCACTGAATCAAATCCGCAACGGAATGCATTGGCTTTGCCAGAAGCTTGAAGATAATTGTTTAGATTATGCCTCCCGAGGTTAATAGTAAGCATCGCCGAGCTAGAAGGCTTCTGTTCGTGCCAAGGAGACTGATCTGAACAAGAGGGAGACGTGCTCATGATGAGACAATGTAGCAAGGCTATCAAGGTCAGGACTCGAGCTTGGTCTTTTCCCAGGCAGGAGCCAACACACTGCTTCTATATATCATCACTTCACACCAAAAATTCAGATATGAGATAGATATACCTGATCACCTATTAGAAGCCATTTAACCACCTGATCACTTTCAAACATCACAAACATCTGACCCCGCATCCTCCTATGCATGTCAGTACATATAACCTGCTAGCCAACTAATTAAGAATTCATTTGGGCGCCATTTTTGGCTCATAATTAGTAGAAATATAGCTGTTGCAATATGAAAGTTGTGAGATAAAAGAAAAAAAGGGCTGAGTGGGGCCCATAAACGGTAACATTTTGATAGGCTTCCTATTCAATTTACCAATTCTAGAATGACCCAGAAGGAGGAGGGAATAGCTGACTGGAAAGTAACATAATCTGTTAGTGAAGGAATGATGGGACTTAGTTAGAAGAGATCTATAAATAGAAGTAGAGGAAACTGGAAAGGGAGGCAGAAAATGGGTAGTCACTTAGGAGAGAATTGGCTCTCTTGAAAAGCCAAATACTGTTTGACTATGCCAATATTGATATACCCCGAGGAGTTTATCCCGAGGACTCCATATAGACCCCATCTCATTTCTCTGCTATGGTCCTCGGGGTCTCCCTAAGTCCTCGAGGTATCGTTGTCCTCGAGATACCTCGAGGACATATTTACATCCTCTCAAGTCCTCGAGAATAGTCCTCGGGACATACACCACCAACATGCCTCCTAAGACCTGGGTACCTAACAAACAAACCTAAACACCCAAGGATTCTACATCAACCCTGATACCGCCTGTCAAACAATTCCATTACAAGTAGGACACTCTTTATAAATAGAAATTCCCTTGGATAAAAACATCCAACCAACACAATCCTACTAGGAGTACACTACCTACCCCTATAAAAGCAGAACCTTGGGCCATTATTCAGGTATGTTTTTCATTGTTTTTCAGCACATAGCCTCATACTTATATTTCCCTTTCTGACTTAAGCATCGGAGGGACGACGAGAACATACCTCGTTGCCTTTGTTTCAGGTACCGGAAGACCGCTATCATGATCAACCCAAATCATCAAACTCGGAAAATCAACAGATACGATTTTTGGTAGCATCATTGGCGCCGTCTGTGGGAAACGCTACCAAAAGCCATGGTAAACACACGTTCAGGTCTTCCATCAGCAAGCTCATCCGCTCCAAACCAACCCCCTCCTGAGGATATCCCTGTTCCTCAAGAGGAATCATCAGAAGTGCCAGAGCCCCAGCCGGCAGTCGTCACTGCTGGAGCCTTTGAAGAGCTCAGACAACAGGTCGCCACACTGACTCAGCTGCTAAGCCAAAGAAATCCGCATCCGTTACCCACACCAGCGCCCCAGGGGGGTCTTATGACTAATGCTCGAGCTCGAGCTCAAACACATGTCCCTGACAATGGCGAAACAGGGGCCTCGGGTATACCACATGTAACCTCGGCCTCGAGATCAGTGACCATGGAATCCGGGGAACTCGCTAGGATTATTCAAGAAGAAATTACGGCAGGCCTACTTCAGGGCAACAAAGGGACGACAAGATTCACTCCCAACACTCTCTTTACTCCAGAGATATTAATATTCCCCTTGCCAGACAGATTTAAGTATCCTAGGATCAAAGAATATGATGGGACCACCGATCCAATCAATCATCCGAACGTATACACGGACGTCATGAATCTACAGATTGCACCAGATCAGGTGATGTGCAAGGCCTTCCCGCAAACTTTGACAAATGCTACTAGGGATTGGTTCTCAACCTTAGAGCCCAACTCCATAGCCTCATTCTCGAATTTGGCGAACAAGTTCTCTGCTTTCTTCGCAAGCAGTAAACGCATCAGGAAGACAGCGGCTTTCCTCATGCAACTTAGACAAGGGCAAAATGAGACCCTACGTGACTTCATGACCAGGTTCAACAAGGAAAGACTTCAGATTCCCGACCTACACATAACAGCAGCAGTTTCTGCCCTCACATATGCCATAAAGTGCGAGGCTTTCAAGATGTCTTTATCCAAAACTCTGTCAAAGACAGTCACCGAGCTTCTTACCCGAGCCGAGAAGTACATAAATATGGAGGAAACACTAAACCCGAGAAAGGTTGGACCACCCCATGACAGGGTCGAGCATAAAAGACAGCACGACCCGAATCCCCGTGAAGAACATCGAAAAAAACAGAGACAGGAGGTTCCCCCGACGCCATTCACGAGTTTAAATACGTCAAAGACCAATATATTGATGGAGATCAAGGATATGAAGGAACTCAAATGGCCTGTCAGAATGAGGTCACCACCCGAATCCAGGGACATGAATAAGTACTGTGAGTTCCATCGAGATCATGGGCATACCACGGAGAACTGTAAGGCCCTGCAACGGGAGATGAAGCCCTTATTAAAAGAGGACTCCTGAGTTCCTATGTCGGTAACGACAAACGCCCGAGGAATGATCGTGGCAGGGAAAAAGCCCCTGAGATAAAAAGGGATGGTCAACCTACTGCTGGAACCATCAATATCATCATTGGAGGCATTGCCTCGGGAGGAGACTCCAACAATGGAAGAAAACAATATGCCCGACAATATGCCTTGGCCTCTGGGATGCCTCATGGAAAGCTGGATGATATTACTTTTGGGACAGGGGACTTAGAAGGTGTATCACTTCCACATGATGACGCCTTGGTAATCTCAGCCATTGTGGCCAATTTTGAAGTAAAGAGAATCTTGGTTGACAACGGGAGTGCGGCCAATATACTTTCACAAGAAGCTTTTGCAAAAATGGGAATCTCATCTCAGCATCTCAAAGCGGTTAAAATTCCTCTCCAGGGGTTTGGAGGAGGAGTCATCACTCCAGAGGGTGTCGCGGAGCTTCCTCTAACTTTGGGTTCTGGCCAGAAACAGGTTACGGAGATGACATCTTTTCAAGTGGTACGTGTCTCAATAGCCTATAACGTTATTCTGGGAAGACCACTCCTGAACAAGATTAAAGCCATTGTGTCCACCTTCCACCTAGCTATGAAGTTTCCAACGTGTAACGGCGTTGGGGTCATCCGTGGAGACCAGATAGCCGCCAGACAATGCTACGTTGCCAGCGTTCGGGAAATAAATAACGACGTCTTGCAAATCTCGAGGATTGAGCCGGAGGCCAGGCAACAAGTCAGACTTGCTCCTGTAGAAGAATTGATGGAAATTGAGCTCGAGCATGATAAGAAGGTGACAATTGGTCGGGATCTGGACGTCACCCTGAAGACAGAATTTGTTGGTTGCTTATCTCGCAACATTGACGTTTTTGCCTGGAAGGTTGAGGATATGTCAGGGACAGATCCTAAAATTGCAGTCCATAGGCTTAACATTAGCCCAGGGGCTAGACCAGTAAAGCAGAGGAAAAGACAGTTTGCCCCGGAACGTCGGGAGGTCATTCGCGAAGAAATTAACAAACTCGTCAGTGCTCAGTTCATTCGGGAGGTCCAATATCCCGATTGGCTTGCTAATGTTGTTTTAGTAAAGAAGGCCAATGGTAAGTGGAGGGTCTGCATTGACTTCACAGATCTTAACAAGGCATGCCCAAAGGATAGTTATCCCCTACCACGGATTGACAACTTGGTGGATAGCACGTCCGGACATAAGTTGTACAGCTTCTTGGATGCATTTTCTGGTTATCATCAAATCCTCATGGCCGAGGAAGATCAAGAAAAGACATCATTCATGGCCGATTCCGCCATATACTGTTATAAGGTCATGCCTTTCGGTTTGAAGAATGCAGGGGCAACATACCAAAGACTCATCAACAAAGTCTTTGCTAACTTGATTGGAAGGAACGTGGAGGCGTATGTTGATGACATGGTGGTCAAGAGCAAACAGGTGGACTAGCATATTTCAGATCTTGAAGAGGTTTTCGACACCTTGCGAAAGTAGGGAATGAAATTGAACCCCGCAAAATGTGCATTCGGTGTGGCCTCGGGCAAGTTCTTGGGCTTTATGATCACTCACCGGGGGATAGAGGCCAACCCTGACAAAATACAAGTCTTGGCGTCTATGGAATCACCGATGAACAAGAAAGAGGTACAGAGGTTGACTGGTAGGATAGCAGCCTTGAACAGGTTCATGTCCCGAGCATCAGACAGGTGCTATCCCTTCTTCAAAGTCCTCAGAGGAAACCAAGGCTTTGATTGGAGTGAAAACTGTGAGAAAGCTTTTCAGGAGCTCAAGCAGACATTGGCATCTCCTCCTATTCTCACTAGGCCTGAGCCCCGTGACACCTTATATTTGTACTTGGCCGTATCTCAAAACGCAGTCAGCGGGGTCTTAGTGAAAGAGGTTAACAAAGTCCAGCAACCTATCTACTATGTAAGCAAGGTCCTACTGGATGCGGAAACAAGGTATACTTTGGCGGAACAACTTGCCCTTGCCTTGGTTATAGCAGCACGGAAACTCCGACAATATTTTCAGTCTCACCCTATTGTGGTGCTCACTAATCAACCACTTAGGCATATACTTCAGAAGCCGGACGTATCAGGAAGACTGATGAAATGGGCAATCGAGTTTGGAGAATTTTACATCGAATTCAAACCACGCCCATCTATCAAAGCCCAAGCACTATCCGACTTCATTGCAGAACTAACCCCTAGGCCTCGGGGGCCAGTGACAGCTTGAGCATGAGCACTAATTTGGACACTTGGCAAATTTTTGTGGATGGAGCATCGAACTCCTCGGGCTCGGGCGCAGGGGTCATCATCATCAGCCCTGACAAACAAACAGAGATCTAATGCGCTCTCAGGTTCGAGTTTGAAGCAACCAACAACGAGGCCGAGTATGAGGCCGTCGTTATTGCTCTTGAGCTAGCCCTTTGCCTTGAGCTCGATTTCGTAAAGATATTCAGCGACTCACAACTGGTGGTCGGACAGATTGAAGGATCATTTGAAAGGAAAGACGAGAAAATGAGTTTGTACTGTATGAGGGTTCAGGATCTTCAACGAAAATTCAAGAGTTGTGAAATTACAAAAATTGCTCGAAAGGACAACGGAAAAGCCGATGCATTATCCAGGCTTGTGTTCATGGGGGTAGACGGCCTTGACAGAACAGTTCACATTAAAATCATCACAGAACCCAGCATCAATCAAATCCTCGACGTCATGGACATCGACAACGAACCATCCTGGATGGACCCAATCATAGAATTCATCACAAGTGGAAATCTACCAAGCGATGCCAGGTTGGCTAGAAGCATCAAAGCTCGAGCTCCTAGGTACTGCATGATAAGCGGTGTCCTCTTTCGCAGAAGTATTACTCTTCCATACCTAAGGTGCCTCAGACCATCAGAGTCATCCCAGGCCCTTGCTGAAGTTCATGAAGGTGTGTGCGGGAATCATCAAGGAGCCAGGGCCTTGGCCTTTAAACTCGTACGATATGGGTACTATTGGCCAACTATGAAAAAAGATGCCTCAGAATATGTTAAAAGATGCGATAGGTGCCAGAGGTTTGGTAATGTTATCCACTCACCAGTCGAAGACCTAACCAGCATTAACTATTCGGCCCCGTTTGAACAATGGGGAGTCGATATCCTCGATCCCTTTCCTGTGGCTAGAGGTCAACTAAAGTTTGTTGCTATAGCAGTAGAGTACTTCACAAAATGGGTAGAGGCCGAGCCTCTCGCCACAATATCGGAGCCCAAGCTAAGAGCCTTCACTTAGAGATCTATCATTTGCAGGTTTGGGATACCAAAGGTCCTCATCACCGACAATGGCAGGCAATTTGACAATCAACAGTTTAAGGACTTTTGCTCAAACCTTGGGATTGATCACCGTCTGACATCAGTTTCACATCCTCAGAGCAATGGTCTGGCCGAGGTAACAAATCGAATCATATTATAAGACCTCCGAACAAGAATAGGCAATGCTAAGGGTTCTTGGTCCGACGAGCTGCCTTCAATACTTTGGACGTATAGAACAACTCATAGGACAACCACAGGAGAAACCCCCTTTATGTTAGCCTATGGCATTGAAGCAATGGTCCCGGTAGAAATTAGACTCCCGAGCCATAGGAGGCTCGTGCCAGAAACCTCGGAGCATACAATTGAACATCTTGATCTCTTGGAAGAAGTGCGGGAGCAAGCCGCTATAAAGGTGGCCTCTTACCAAACTAAGACAGCAAAATATTTTAATAACAAAGTCAAGACTCGGAGGTTCAGAGCAGGCGACTTGGTCCTGAGGAGGGCCGAAGCTGCAGGTCACCCCTGGGAAGCTCGGGCCCATCTGGGAAGGACCCTTTGAGGTCATACGACAGGTTCGCAAGGGAGCATACAGTCTAAAAGACACTTCGGGTAGGCCTCTTCCAAGGCCCTGGAACGCTGATAATCTGAAATTATACTACAAGTAACATTCTCGATGACATCTAGGAGATTTTCTTTTTATTCCTGCATTTTTTCTTCTGAATATTATTTTTGGTTCCTCGGGCCTGCGCGCCGTTGCATTTTATTTCTCTAGTTTAGCGGGCCTGTGTGCCCAAGCATGTTTTTTGTTTTCTCTCATAATGAACTACGTTCGGCTTGATCCCGTTTGGGTCGTAGGCAGCTTGGATACAATATAAATCCAAGTCCAGTCCGAAAAATTAGTAAATTCAAGCTTCGGGTATAGCAGCCCTTTAGTTTACTTTGCGCCCAGGAATCACAAAAAGCCTTGCCCCACGCAAACACAAAAAGCCTTGCCCCGCGCAAGCACAAAAAGCCTTGCCCTAAGCAAGCACTCAAAAAAGCCTTGCCCCGCGCAAGCACAAAAAGCCTTGCCCCGAGCAAGCACTCAAGAAAGCCTTGCCCCAAGCAAGCACCAAAGCCTTGCCCTGGGCAAGCACAAAAAGCCTTGATCATATACTCAAGCGTAAACTGTTATAGTATCACCTAGGGACATACAAAAGTCCCATATCATTTTTGACACTCCCGAGAATATCACAACCCAAGTTTTTAAGTTAGTTGTGCACGAGGTTTATAGTCCTCGAGAATTTCACATTATAGCTTTTTAAGTTTGTTGTGCTCGAGGTTTACAGTCCTCGAGGAAATCACGACCCAACTTTTTAAATTTAGTTGTGCTCGAGGCTTAGAGATCCTCGAGAATGTCACATTATCATTTTTTAAGATGAGTTGTGCTCGAGAATGTCACATTATCATTTTTTTAAGATTAGTTGTGCTCGAGGATTACAGTCCTCGAGAATGTCACATTACCATTTTTTAAGATTAATTGTGCTTGAGGATTACAGACCTCGAAAATGTCACATTTTCATTTTTTTAAGATTAATTGTGCTCGAGGTTTACAGTCCTCGAGAATGTCACATTATCATTTTTTAAGATTAGTTGTGCTCGAGGATTACAGTCCTTGAGAATGTCACATTATCACTTTTTAATCCCTTAAATACGCTCGAGTTGTG